GGTGAAATACAGGTTTTTAGAGAAAGGTCTGATTTCCAGTCTTGTTACTCTGTCTGGAGCTTCAGGCAAGACCTCGCCTCACATTGTTATCTGGTTCTGTGGTTGGGTCAACAGCGATTTTTTGGTGTCCATTAAATACATGCTTGTTACATAACTTGATTAATTCCAAACAAGTTTAGTTGTTTGGAGAAGACATGAAATTCTTGCATTTTGTGTACATAGAAATGAGCACAGAGAGGGAAGGGTATTAAACCCAGTCTTCCACCACTACTAGTAATAACGTCTTAATTACTTTCATAAAGTCATCGCTCCCTCTGAAACAGGTTGGATGTTTTGTTGTCGATGTTCTTATTGCGAGGCTCTTCCAGTAATTCCCTGTGGCACTCTCAGGAAAGACAAGAAGGAAAGACAGGCAGGGAAGAAGAGGGGGGGAATGCCCTCCTCTTTGAAGGGGCAGCTGGGATGTATGGAGCTCTCCTGTGGGATGGACATGGCTCATGGGTCAGATCCAAAGGGAGGCCAGGGAGGGCAGCAGCATGTTACTTACCATGGGGTCACAGTGAGGGAGGGGACATCTTCCTCAAACCCCCCAAGGAATCCTGGGGAGGGCAGAGCCTCGTACTCCTGGGGGCCATGAACCTCCCTGTCACCTGCTGGAAGGGCTGCACGATGGGACAATCTGCAGTCCTGGAGGGTGTCAGGGACAACTTCTTGTTGGGGTCTGGCTGAGCCAGACCAGGGGGTCGCACTGATGGATCTGCTCTCCCTGCCAAGGAGGCACCAGCAGGGGAGGTGGTGGTCCATGGCAGTGTTGGCCATGGTGAGTGTGAGAGAGTGGAGATGCAGGCCCTGAGGGGATGGGGAGAGAAGAGTTGCAGAGCCCAGACGTGGGGCACCAGCTGAGCAGCCTGCGGCTTGTCCAGGGAGTGGGCAGCTGGGATCTTAGGGGAGCAGCTCTGAAGGGTGGAGGAGATGAGGGGAACTGCCAGGTCTGCACAGACTGTGTCCGCCAGATTCGGGAATGGACTGTCCTGGTACCCAGGAAAGCAAGGAGGCTTATCAGGATCCCGGCTTGGTTAAGCCGAGAACTCATGGCACAGCTCCACTGCAAAACAGCCACCTACAGAGGAGGAAGCAGGGCCAGGCTACAAAGGAAGGCTTTAGAAATATTGCCCAGGCATGCAGGGGTGGGGTTAGGAAAATCAGAGCTTGGCTGGAACTGTCAGGGACATCGAGGGCAAGATGAAGAGCTTCAGCCTCTCTATGAGTAGCAAAGGGCGGAAGGACATCTAGCCCGAGCTCCGAGGTCAACTCTGGGGACAGTCAAGAATTGGAGCCGGTTGCCCAGAGAGGTTATACAGTTTTCATTCTTGGAGAATTTTAAGACCTGACTGCTTAAAGCCCTGAGCAACCTGGTTTGACCTCAGAGTTGACCTCGGAGCTCGGGCTAGATGTCCTTCCACCGGCCCTTCCAACTTGAATTGTTGTCTGTGATTCATTATATGAATATTTTAAAACTACCTTGAACTTCCAGCTAAATTTATTTGTGATCTATTTGTGCCCTTGAGCTTTTTTGCTTCTTAGGCTTTTTCTTTGCCTAAAATAAATTTTATTCTGCAATGTATTAACCAAGAACAATAACATTCACTCTCGACTTTTGTTAAGCAGAACAAGCCATGATCTTCTAATTTCCTCTTGTGAAATAAGAGTCCCTACTCCTTTTTCATCCTAATATCCCCTCTCTGCACCTGTCATGATTTGAATTCATCTAGCTTGCGTGTAGGTGATCACAGCGCTGCAGTACTGCACAAACCCAATTGCAAGGTCAACGAAGAAATATTCACGTCCTGTACTAGGCACACTTGCTGCTGAAAACATGCCACAGCACAATACAGCCACAGATTTAAATTTTTTATTTTTTTTTTTCAGAACTCACCCTGCCCATACTAATCCTGTCACTCCTTATCATTTCCTGATCTTGCTTTATATATAGAAATGCGTAAATGCAGACATAAGTAAAATTATTGTGCCATGGAAATGATTAATGATGACAAATCCTACTATTAAAAAGGCTTTTCTGATTATTTGCCCCAAACAATTCTCTCACTGCTAATTTTCATTACTCTTAATTGGACCATTTTTTTCCCTCAGAAGCTGTTCTAGACCCAGGTGTCTTTCAAGTACTTGCAGACAGAAATCTTGTCCTCTTTTAGATTACATCTATTGATCTTTTCTGGTGAGTCATTTTTTTCTAGCACCCTAATTATTTGGATGTGAATGAATAAAATTCTTTACAACAAAATGTTTTCATATAGTTCTCAATTTTGTTTCTAGGATCCTGTAAAAAGATCACCAAAGTATTCTTTAAATCCCCACGATCACAAGTACCTGAAAGGCGTGAGGCATAACCTTTTCAGTACATTGACCACAGAACGCCTTATTCTCTTTGTGTTACAACTGCTTTGGAGATACTAACCCTGACTCCAGTTTGGTCATGTGGAATTGTGGTCCCTCCAGGAAAGCAGGCTTTATTTAAGTAGTAAGTAAGAAGAAGAAATTTCCAGTGATACAGCAGATCTCCCCAGTCATAGTTTCTGTCATCTTCTGTTTCTCCATGAATTCCTCTTTTGGGAAATTGTTTAAAGCTAATCTGGAAGTGAATTCTCATAGATTCTCTATGAGATTGCCAGTTGTATGTTGGTTATTCACCATGCAAGAGATAAATTGGCTTTTTTTGAGTTGGCATTTTGTTGTTTGTGGCTTTTGTACTGCTTTTCACATTGTTTAAAGAGCAGTAAGTCATCTGTAGGTTTACTAAGTGTAAATTTGGGCTTGTGAGACCATAACGCAGAATGTTGGGCCCTGTGTAGAATTCATGGGCTAGGTGGTTATGAACATATAAGGAGCTCCTAGCTCCCGTGCTTAAATTATTTCTATCTCCCTTCCAAGTGTAGCTGCAGAGGCCTCCTGTGCCTGGTCTTGGCACTTGAGCTACTTATAAAGGCAAGGCACGCACCGATTCCAGCACCATCCTGCTGATCCCTGAGAGCGAATTTTCCAGCCCCAGCACTCCAGCTACTGCACAAAATAAGTCTTAACATTTTTCAGACATGGTTACAACTTATTTGGAAACAGAAAAACATTTAAGTGTGTACTGGGTGCAGGTGTCCAGGGAGAGGTGGGGGTGGGAGCTGCAGGGGAGAGGTGGGGGTGGGAGCTGCAGGGATGGCCTCCGTGAGGAGAGGTTGGGACTGCCCCGTGCTGGGGACAGCTGATCCCCAAGCAGAGATTCCCCTGCGCCCCTGGAGAGATCCTGATGGAGCAGGTATTTCCCTGCAGCCCCTAGAGAGATCCTGGTGGAACAGGTATTTCCCTGCAGCCCCTGGAGACATCCTGCATCTCCTGCAGCCCATGGAGAGGATCATGCTGGAGCAAGTTTATCCCGAAGGACTGCAGCCCCTGGGAAGGCGCTGAGCAGGCAAAGTGTGAGGAGGAAGGAGCAGCAGAGAGGAGCTGTTATGGACTGACCGCAGCCCCCTGTTCCCCATTCCTCTGTACCACTCGGGGGAGAAGGTAGAGAAAATCAGGAGTGAAGGGCTGAAGCTGAGCCTGGGAAGAAGCAGGGTGGGTGGGAGGAAGGTGGTTTAGGTTTTGCCTTTATTTCTCACCATCCAACTCTATTTTCATTGGCAATAAATTAAATTAATTTTCCCCATGTTCCTCGTGACAGTAATTGGTAAGCGATGCCCTTGTCTTTGCCTTGTCCTATGAGCTTTTTCATCTTATTTTCTCCCCCTCCTGTTGAGGATGGGTGGAGAGCAGCTCGGTGGGGATCTGACAGCCAGCCAAGGTCAACCCGCCACAAACTGTTTTAAGGAAGCTAGAGCTCTCAGAGTAATTTCAGCCCTATTTTTTCATCTTGATCTTCAACAGACTTAATTATTAACTTGGAAATTATTTCCATTTCCATTTGATTAAATGATATTAGAATTTTTGCCATGAGACAAAACCAGAGACTCAAACTTCACAGCATTGATTAGCTATCATGATAAAGATGAATAGATGAATATTGGCTCATTTTTAATATGATGATTCATTACCTGGCAAAATTAAGGCTCTGCATTATTTCTATTTCCATTATATTCCATTAGGATTTATTATTATTCCAGAAGTTGTAATGTGCATTTCTCCCCCTTTTTTTTGTTTTTTAAATATGGGATGTCATGTCCTATAGTTAGAATGGTACTAGAAACTCACGTGATGCTAAACTCAGGACCACTGCTCGGAAGGTTACGTCATTTCTGTGCACAGGCACAGCACCAGCACTCTGCAGATCTGAGACTCGAGAGGAAGTGCAAGGCTCGTTCCCTGCCTGTGTCATACTTGTGTCTGACATCTTGCACGTCCATGTGGGAGAGCTAAAAGGAGAGTTGTCATCTTCCCTCATGTTTTGTAGAACACCCATTGGACTTCTGCTTAAAGGCAAAGGACAACATATCCTTTACTTACTTTCATATATCTGAACTGAGTTACAAACAACAACAAAATAAAGACAGAAGAGGAAGAATACTTGACTTGTGTCAACATTCTTTTTCTTTTTGGAAGAAGGTTGTTCAGTTTAATCCTCATGAAAGTGGGAAAAATAACAGTAGTGGATTAAAGCCAGAGTTTAAGAAAATACATTTACATATTTTTTTTTACTTAAAAATGAGTTTCCTCATCATTCAAAGACCTAAGAGGTAAGCTATATTGTATACACCTCAGGTACAAATTGAAAAAAGATCTAATAAACCAGACTATATAAAAAGCAAGAGACTTTTTTTTCCCCAGAAAAATGTATTTGTGTTTTAGCTGATCATATAAAAAGCATTAAATTTTAAAAAAATGTGTATATATTCTTTCAAGTGTTAATGGTTTCACCATTCCTTGTAACTACATTCCAAAGCCCTGTAACATCAGGGCACGTTACCCTTATCTGTGTAGCACAGTGATCACAATCTTTACACTGAGGTCACTCTCATCACTACTTCCCCAGAGCCGTTATCTTCTGATGAATCTTCCTGAGGTCTCATGCGGTTGAACAGATGTAACAATACATAGCCACACTGAAATCTTGGTGAGGTTAACTGTGTTGGATGAACTAAACTTCTGTTTCTAAATGCAGTCAATGGTAACCACAATGTCCTTCCTCCCGAGGGTTCTCCTCGATTGCTCTCTTCTATGTCTGTGGCTTTATCGTAATTTAACACATCCCAGTGTAGATTCACAGCCCTCCAGCGCTTAAACACTCGATAAACTGATGCACCTTCATGTACTATCAGTCCTGAAATTAAGAAAAAAATAGTTTGTACAAAATGTCACTGGATACCATTTTGAGAGCAAATACAGATGTAACACGTTGTAATGAATCTGCCAGAACCTATTAAATTACACACAATTCTGATAATTCTGATAAATTGTACAGGTGCAATACAACTGGATATTCATGTGTTTAAGATCGTGAGGTGGGAACTTGTAGAGGAAATAAAATTGTTCTGAATGAAAGCTCAACATAATCAGTACTGGAATAATCTGAGCATGCCTAACTAAATAAAGTATTTAGGTTTAAGTAAAGCTATGTAAAAGAATCTTACTAGCAGATTGGTAAATTGACTGTTTATGCTAGTGTTATCCTTGTTCATGGCAAGGACTATTTACTGAGATTTGTCCTGGTTTAAGTAGATCTTTAAGTAAGGTAGACCTTCTGTAATGAACAGAAGGGTCTTAAATTTGTTTAAGAGTGTTTTGTAGAATTCAATACAGATACAAATTTAACTGTTTTCGCATTCTTCACTCAACTTGGGAGCACAGATTTATGAAAACCTGAAACAGCTGTAAGTATAATGACTTTCCTGTCTTGCTTCAGTAGAGCAAGAAGAAATTAAATGGTATTATTAACTAGGATGAGCATGGCACGGATGATAGGCTTTCTTCTTTCTCTTCAAAATTCAGTAGACAAAAGTTGAGAAACCCTTTTTTGTTGAGAAATCTTTTAAAAGGTCCTTCAAAGAAAATAAAGAGTATCTGGAGTCCTCAGACAACCAATCTGCTTATGACTGTCCACGTAGCTAATATTTATGCTTATTGTATGCATGCAAGCAATTTCTTTACTTAAATGAAACTCTCCATTTTTCATATGTATGTACATGTATTTATACACATTTTTAAATATTGATTCACTGGGAAGATACATGGGGCTTAAGCCTTCTTATTAGTTTTTTTCCTCTGTTCCTCAACCACCCTAGTAACTTATACAGTTCTGAGCAATGTCACTTGTTTCCTCTGACTCCCTGCTTTGGGAGGAGAGCAATCTGCCTAGCCAAACGTATTTATAAATTTTTTGTCCAGTGTGTTTCTTGACTAAAATTTTCCTATACTCGGCCACATCTGTAATGTGTTCTTCAGTGTCATAGTCTATAGTCCTTTATCCCAAGAGATCGTATATCACCTGTTCCTACACAATGAAATTGTGATTTAAGTGTCTGAGGTCTCTTAGGGGGGTTAACTGATACCAGAAAGGAGACATTCGAAGAAAGATGACACAAGCAAAAAGGATGATAAAAACATTTATATGAACAGCAAACCTCAGATTCAAGTGCAATGATTTGCAGATCACAATGCCTACTCTAAAACATTTTTAAAGATCATTACGCTGAAAGATGGAGAAACACAAAGATGGCTTTCAGAAGGGCATGATAGCAAATGTAGCATCTCTGTAAGGCTTTCAAGTTGCCTAGAATTCGTCGAAGCATCCAATACAGCAAAACTAACACACTATAAACTTAATTAGATGTTAAACATTCTAAATGTATTTTGTATCAGCATAGCATTTTAGTGGAAAATTTTCTTGATTGCAAGATGCCTATCTTCACCTTCTCAGATATATAAAAAGGAACCTGTCCTAAAAATTTAGCACCCATGTTAATACATAAATGCACCTTCAAGACTAGCTATATTGTCTTAAAAAGGATAAATTTGTTTGATCACGTACAAAATCTACAAACCAAGTAAGCCACAGCTTTATTGCTGTGACAAAGATCAACTCCCCACCCCCTTTTTTTTCTGTTGGATTTCCTCTAGAATGATAAGGGAGAGGAGCATAATTTTCCCTCTATCTGTCAGTGGATCACAGTATTCTTTGGCCCAGTTTCCCTCAAGACTGTGACGAAGCAAAATTGAGAGAACCTATTTAACCCAATGTAAACATTTTTGATACCTGCCTGGCTCTCCATCGGAACCTGAACAGCATATTTCAGAATAGAGAAGGAAGTGGCTGAGAAGGGATCATTGAGGTACATGAAGTACATTTAAACAGGCAAAAGTATCCTCCCAAAATTATGATGGAAAAAGTCATAGGACTTTGTCTTTTAAGAAGCTCTTTTTTACTATTTTTGAGCTCTAAGAATTTACTGAAATTATGTTTTCAAAGTTTTCTCAACAATGGCAAGGAAAAGAAGTTCCCTTTAAAATGAAAGCTGTTATTCACATATGCTCTGAAAGAGCTAAGGAACAAAGGATCAAATATTGCAAGGCTTGAAATAAAGTTGTCGCATTTGGCAATGCTGAAGGAGAAAGGGAGTACTTTCATAATTCCTCCCATGAAAAGCTTTAGTTCCCATCTGATAAAACTACAGATTGAAAAAGACCTATGTAGAAGAGGCAAAAAAATTCCAATACATCTTTTGTCTCTTTGAAAGGTATTTTCCAGAGGCCGGGGGAAAAAAGTTCTCAGCACCAACAGTGCCAAGACCACAAGCAAGGGAAAACCTGGGTAAGGTTTACATGCTGGAGATTTTCCAGTTCCAAAGAAGTTCTGATGCTCAAAATATAAGTAGATAGTCACTGAAGTGAAGCTGTAAGAAAATGGCAAAGAATATTCTTTTTCTTAAGAGTTCCACAGCAATGAATGAAGATCTGAGAGAGAAAACGAAGATAAACCCATGAATAATACTGACTTGTTCCAAATACTGTGGTTTCAACAGCACAGAGGACATAACTGCACAGTCCTAGGGAAAAAAAAATGATTTGTTTGACCCAGCTGATCCCAAGAGGAAGTGTTAGAATTCACTCTGTTAGCTATTCTGACGTTCTGTCCAATTAATATCTACATCCCAGTTTTGGGATGACGGACCTGGCAAAATGTCCTGAAGGCTCTAAGAGGACTTTACCTGCAGGATTTATTTGCACAGCGTAGTGATTGTAGTGGGATCCAGACAATAGGATTATGGGGAGATTATAATTTTCTTTTCTCTTATTGCTGAGTACTATGAGATTCTTTCATTCTCTTTAAAGGATGTCTTACCCTGAGTCACAAGAACACTTGAAATTTTTCATACTGAATGTCTTTACAAGAAGGCAACTGCTTAGTTCAGCTGTGGTATTGGTTCCAATATTGCCTTATTTATCACACTATACTTACTTATAATTGTTTAGGAATGGTCCTCCCAGAAACATCACAAACTTTTACCAGGGAATAAAAGACCCTTTTCAGAAACAGACTTTACCACTGGACAAAATGCCATCTCTTAATTCTATTTTAGGGTCCACAGATAGATAGAAAAAAATGCAATAAGGGGCTTAAAGCATTAAAGTGAAACATGTGCACTCTAAAAATAGCAATAAAACTGTCTCTGAAGTATTTAGAATTGGTGAAAGACTGAGATTCTGAGCAGAGAAACAGTAAGTGCAGCTAGTTGCGTTTATTATAAATAACTTCTGCCTGTACCTTTTTACAACTGAGGGAGTTACATGAATGTCGCCAGGCATCAAGTTCCTCGGTGGGGAAGAAAGAGGCTTTCAGAGGGCTCTTCACACCTCACATTTCTCCTATCTCTTACTCCCTTGCCATAGTACTGGCACCACTCACATTTCCAGCACAATGTTACAGTTGCTTTTCATGCTCTAAAGGAGCTGCACTGTTGTCCTGGGATTGCAAGTGAGCTGTTATTATTTGTGAGAGGTCTTGTTCATGTTAGAACCATTTATGACTAGTAGTTATGATTATGTTCCAGTGAAAATATATAAGGTTATATAATCTCACTGTTACGAGAAATAATTGCTAAGTCTACAAATCAGAATGGCAAAGACTTGGTGTACCGTCCTTCAGTGGCTAAATAAGGGGTTTATTGATTCTTTCCTTTCATATTAACTCATGAACTCATGCCCTTTGCTAATCCCTACAAAGATGGTCTGATCTTAGCACTATCACTGCAGTAGCTCTGGGTTTCACAGGCAGTAGCTCTACTTGACTAAAATGTTCAAGGTTTGCCTTAAGAAAACTTCTACCATCAGCAAGTTTCAGAGAGAACAGCTTTACACACAACTTAGATGCAGAAATGTAAAAACTAGTGACTTGTAGGATTGAAACCAACACTGATGAGTAAAAAAGATGATCCTGTGAGGAAGAAATTAGGATTCTAGCAAAATTTAGAGTGGAACAAGAAAAACAATGGATACCAATAAAATATGTACACTGGAATGAATAAAACATATTATATTGGTGATCTGTAATCTTTGGGATATTCCTTGTGGTGGAAAGATAATCAAGACCAAGAATTAAAATACAAGTTACATGTCATTTACTTGATATGAAAGTGGGCGGTGTGCTACCTATGGGATATAAATCACTCATTGGGAAAACAAATTAATATGTGCAAGTTTTCAAAGATGTCACGTAAGTATGTCATTGCCTTTGGGAAACCTGCTTTTAAAAATGATGACAACAAAACATTTCAAAAAGTACAGATATTTACAGTTCACAAATGACCAAAAATATCCACATTCTTTATGCAAAGCCATAGGGAGGCATAACTGAGGGCAGTTGTAATAAGTCTTGGTCATACCACCAGTAACTCAAACACTTGTCTTGAAATACGTGCTGCATGGGAAAACCCACATGTCTGCATAGATTTTTCATTGAAATAAAGAGAGATTCCAGAGGAAATATAGGTATTCTGTCACTGTAAATCCTGTTGAAAACTAAGAGAATGCTATGATTGACTAAACACAAATGAGAGGAGAGGAGATCCTGAGAACTATGGCTGGCTGTAAGCAACACAAGCTTTATGATGTAAGAGATTATATGTAATATGCAATGGTAAAATCATATGTTAATGCCTTTGGGAAGTCATCAGCATAATGGACAGTGTTGGGGTTTTTTTTAAATTATTCATGAGTAATAATTACATCCATCTATTGGAGAACTGTATTTGAATGTTTTAAATTAAAACTATCAATCTAAAATCCCTCACTTTATGATGAAAAAAAAAGATAAAATTGAGTAAAGTTGAATGTATTAACAAACATCTTCAAGAGTTACAAGAACTCCTGGTCTTACAAGCTTACAGAATGCAAATTACTTGAAATCATATCCAGAATAAGTGGGTTGAATGAATCTGGACCATCAGATTCTACAATTACCAGACCTCCTTTATACAGCTTTCTGAATTTCCAGATACAGTTTAGTAAACTGTTAAGTCGTATCTGCACCAAACTTCATAATTACAAAACAGTGTCCAAGTGTGTTTGATTATAGTCAGTTTCACAGAAAAATTCCCATGTATTATTTTTGATAGGACTATAAAACACACATTTAAGTAATTACAGGCAAGTCAGTTTATCTGGTGGGTGAAGAAAGCTGCAGGTCCTATTTGCTCCTGCACAGGGCCAGTTAGGCTAGAAGCTCCACAGCCATGTGCGACACATGTTCAGTCGCTTCCAGTCCGGAGGTGGCTTGAGCCTGGCTGGCTTGAAAGGCAACTACGTAACTGCATGTACCAACCTACTGAAGGCTCGCCTTACAACAGTTTACTTCTATGGATAAATGCACTAATATTTCTGATCACCCACAGATGTTCTTGACAGATTTTGAGATTAATTAAATTAGGTCTTTTAACAATCAAATAAATGGAAAGAAATGGAAATAGTTTGAAATAACTGGCTATTCCAACTAGTTGATGCATACCAAAGTAAATTTTTTACAATTGTAATCTTTGTGAAAAAAAAAAATTCCATATAAATTAAAAGTTTAGAATGCTTGAAGCACATTCTGTCTTCACTTAGTGATTTTTTTTTTAAAAAAAGCAAAAACCTCAATATTGAGTGTTAAGGTGGAAAAAGTGGTATTCAGGAATCAGCTTGTAAGAGGAAATGTAGCTGAGCCCTTTCTTTCATTTAAAAGCTGTGCACTTGTCTAGAGTATTAGAGACCTAGGTTCTGTTCATTTTTCTGTTTGAGAAGGACTGGGTTCACAAAAGAAAGCCTGTGTTCTAAAACATTCCAGGGTGGGCTTCTCTTAGAAAAATTACAAAGTAAACAGAACTGCTGATCCAGCTGAAATATAAGTACTCTTACAGTAATGGGATGGTTTCAATAAAAGATGATATGGCTTTATGGTTGGAGCAAAAGCCTTGATATTAGGAATCTCTCTGTTTCTTTCCACCTTACTGAGCAGAATTCAGCATTGTCCTTCCAAATTCTCTTATATGAGATTGGGGTAACATCAACATTTATCACTCAAAGCAAACATCAGATAGCATTTGACTTCTGGATTTTCTTGGAATTGCAATCCTAAGAATGTGGTTTAATGTTTATTGCAATTATTAATTTTTCTCTGCAAATAACCGTAGCTATTGTAACAATCAATTCAAGGTTGTTTTATCAAAGATTAAAGGGACTTCTATTCAGTATTTCTGGGTGCAGTATATTTTCAGAAATACCAAAACTGGTCAAAATAACTTTGCAGTAAATTGCATTTTCTTTTATAAGATTTCAGCTAGAGTTCAATGACTTCAGACTTTTTAATAGTATAGTAAGTTATTATAGTTAGTACTATTAGAGTGTTTCATAACTGTTTATGATTTACTAAGTACTCATGTCTGCCTTCTCTGATCTTTTCTATTACTAGCACTGTGACCTATGTAAGTCTGTGCAACTTAATTTTGGATATGTAGTTTGACGACATCCTCAGTGGTTTCTTCTGTGCTTCATGATGGCACAATATAATGCGAAGTGGCATCCGCAGAAGACTTGACAGCAAGTTAATTTTACTAATTATTTTCATAATGTCTTTGTTGTTTTCATCTACTTAACTTCCTGAACTTTACTAGCTGTCTATTTTTTGAAGAAATTGAAAGTGATCCTGTTCTCACCACTGAGATCCTGGAGAGACACTTTGATGAATCTGAGAGTAAAGTTTCTTTGGTTCTTTTATCTTTGCAGTATTTGTAACACTGTAAAAACCAGTATTTGCCAAAGGTACCAGCTGAGAATAAATCTGCAAAGAACTGGAGTGACTGATTAGAGTGACCAATTAGAAAAATAGATATAGTCATAGTCTTAAACCACAGTCTGTGCTGTTTAAAGATTTTGAGCTTACCTATGCATACTAGATCCATAAAACCATACATTCCATAGCAGATTTGAAAAAGGATGTCCTTTCTTTGCCATACTGCATAAGGGCTGAAGGCTGACCATAGAAGCCAAGTCACACTTGCTACTAAGAACAGAGATCCTAGGATTACAGCAACCATCTGCACTTTCTCAACCAGTGTTATAGTAATGCTTTGCCACTAAAAGAGAAACAAAGTTGTATAAGATAAAAATGTTATTTTTTGTGATTGTACATTCAACTCCACTTTTTTCCTGAAAGCAGAAATTATTTTAATATTTATACATATCTTCATAGATCTTTACTAATATCCTCGATACTGACATTCCATATATATTTTTTTACCTATTTCACTTTCAGTTAAAGTGAAACTAACAGTTGCTTCCCCATCCCCTCCAGCATCACTATCATCACCATCTAGCTGTGAACTTCAGAAGGGTTAATACTTTTATTTCTGTTTTGAATACATAGGCAAAAAAAAAGATTTAATCTTAGGAATGGAACTCAGCCTTTCATATTTGTAGGCTAATGAAGAGAATAAAAAAATTTGGGAAGACAATCTTAAGTATGTTTTATGTCAGTGTGACAAGTTGAAAGCGACAGCTTCCCTTTCCATCCTGCCCCCCTCAAGTCTGAAGGCATTTCCCACTTTCCTGCTGCTCATTAAAGAAGCTCCAGGCTATCTCCAGACATACCAAGGTATTCGGTTAACCAGTGTTAACATTACCGAGAGATGCCTGCAGCCTAGTATGGAAACAACCTGAAGACCCAGGAAGAGCCCTGAATATAGGTAGCATGAACATTTCTTTTCAGCGCACCTCAATTATGTCCACTTTTCCAGGGAAGACTGTATCCTCTGTATGTGAGGTGACTCAGATTTATAGTGTGATAAGATTTAAATATAAAAGAGTATGCTTACTGAATTCTGTCAAGATAAGAATAGAAACAAAATTTTGTTAAAGAGTCACAAAAGCAAAACACAGCCTAGGGAAAAAAAAAGCATTCTAGATTACCCTTGATTTACATGGTCTTTCTTGGCCATAATTGTCTAAATTAGCTTGGCAGACTCCCCACTCTAGCCCCATCACCTATTGCAGCGCTCGTATGCAGACTTTGTAGGCTGCCATCTTTTCTGTTCCTCACTTTGAACATACCTGCTGCCCCCTTATACAGTTGCAATAGGGAATAAGTAGAGAAAGAGCTACTGAAGTAGAGAGCTCTATTACCTCTTTACCCATCTGGCAATAATTTTTCCTTTTTACTGTTACTTTATGAAAGCTTTCTCTTTTTACCAGCAGCTGGGTACCTAGTGGCGTATGATCACAGGATGCTAAAATAATTCAGGTGGCAAGGGCCTGTGGGAGGTCTCTAGTTCAACTTCCTGCTCAAAACAGGGTCAGTGATCAGACCAGGTTGTTCGGGGCTTTATTCAGTAACATCTTGAAAACCTCCAAGCATGGAGACTCTTCAACCTCTCCGGGCAACCTGTTCCACTTTTGACTGTCCACCAGTTGAAAAATGTTTTTCTTAAAAAATATTTTTCTTATACCCAGGCTGATCGTCTTTTGTTCCAGCTTATGTTCTCTTCCTCCCATCAAGTACCACTGTGAAGAGCCTGGGTGAGCAATGAGGTCCTCTGCCCCCTTCTTCTCTTTCAGCTTTTTCCATTACCTTTTCTACTGTTGCCTAATTTGCACATCTGGTGCCGCATGACTTCTGAATATAATAGTACAAAAAGATAGCTGTATAACAATTGGTAAATCATCTATCCTGAAATACTATCCTTTTATAATGAACTTATTAAACTCATACTAGCTATTTCATTGAACTTCAGGGTTTGGAATGGGGCTATTCATATTAAATAATACCTTTTTCATGGTAAAGCAACTATGGATACTCATTTCCTTTGTTAGAAATTTTTTTTTACAAGGTCAGGGAAGGTCATTAACAAGTGATGCATAACAGAATGGTGTGAGCTTCTCATGACTCAGATATTACTTGTATACAGGATTTAAATGTCAGGACTGAAATTCACAGAACTCTCTTTAGACTCTATAGGGATATGTTCCACAAAATTATTTTTTATTTCTCAGCTGAAGCTACATAGTATGACTTCGCAGAAAACTGTCAAAAATGCTATTGGTTATGTATCTCTTTCTATCTTCTTTCATTATCAGTGTGAGACAGACCTATTTCAGAATGCCTGAAATCAAAGTACATTTACATGAAGTAAAGCTTCAACTGTCACAAAATATTAAACTGTCAAATTCATGGAAGAAGCTGGCAATAAATGAAAAAAACCTGTTATATCACTGAAATAAACAGCAGATCTTTCACAGTGCAATTTCAGCAATACAGAAGTTCCTAAACTCACTTCAGCTTTTTTTTTAATTTAAATTACTCTTAATTATTCTGCAAAGATAGCACTGAACAGAAGGAAAAGTAGTCCAAACATTTGGGATAAGTAATGTAGCATGCAGACTGGATATAAAGCCCATCCCTTATTCTGGTGGTGTCTGATGACCGATTTCTATTCCCATCTCCCACCCAACCCGAATCAGCCACTCCTACCATCTTTTTCCATCTCATGAAGGCTTTTGCTACCTTACCTAAACTTTTTCTTTCTAGAAAAGCTTGTCTTTGAAAAGTGCTAAGAAACATAAATATGATCCTCACCTCTTCCTAGCATCTTCTCAAGAATGTATTTTATTTATTTTGCTATTCTCCTGATCAGATGAATTGTCTGTCAACAATGCAAGCAATTGAGTCTCTCAATCTCAATAAATTCAGTAATTCCAAAGATTCACCATATTAGCATGCTACCAACCAGAATGGGGAGCCACCCCAATTACTGAGAAAATGCTCAGGGTTGTAGTTTCTAAGTCCTTTGCCTTTAAAAATCAAAGAACAGTTACAAAAAAAACCAAAACCCAACAAAACAAAGCAACCAAGAACCCCAAAAGGGGGTTGAATGTTTTCTTGTATTACTCAGGTACTTTGGCCTTTGTGGTATTCACTGCCTTTCTTCTACAAAAGAAACCGTAGTCCTCCACCTTCCCCAACATGAAGGTCAGCAATAACCAAGCAATTTAAACATTCTAGGAAAGTTACCTCCCTATTAATGTAGTAATCCATAAGTTAAACTAACTGATGAGATCCCACAGTAGATAGAGGAGGAAAGACTGTATGCATAAGATGGAAGGCATTCAAGAGACCCAGAAAGTTTTATGCAAAACTGCTTTAGTGCTGGGCAGTCTGCCATAGGAACCCAACACCGTAAGAGTGATAAGGTGGGATGGGTTAGTATTAAGCTTTAACATGTGATCAGTTTGGCGACCTTGGTTTCTGTGTATGTCTCTCCTTAGTGCTAATGGCAAGAAGACTGTGGATGTTCCTGATGGCTGACTTTTACCTCAACTGAAATTTCCTCCTCCTTGCCCTCCTCCAATCAGTTTTGATTCAGAACAGTCTGAGATTGCCTCTTGGGAAATGAATGTCTTGATTTTTGACCCATAAGTTTAGATTTTGTGTACACATTATAAAAAGCAAACAGATCTTCTTGAGGCAGGCATATTTTTCATGTAATGAAGAAGGTCTTCTGTAGTTATGACATTATTCTCATGTAAATAAGTTTGGAAGGTTCAGTCCTTAGCCACAGACAGTACTAGCCATTAGGGAACCAGAGGAACTGCACAGGACTGTATTGTTTGGTGGCACTACATTTCATAACAAGGCTTGTGAAGAGGAACTGGAGTTGTGGTCACACTGTTTTTTTCTAGCTGAAGTCTCACAGCATAGCTAATATGTGTGAGTATACACTCTGCCAGACACCCAGGAACAGAAGTCTCCTTTTCTAAGAGTAAGATTCTCTTAATAGTATCAAAAGCCAGTTAAACTTTATTTCATTTCTCACCATCATTTGCCTTAATGTATGGCCTGTTACATGTTGTTATAATCACTTCACCTTTTAATGTCAAATGAATGGTTTACAATAAAGAGGTCACAAAAATAATGCAGCAAAAATAATTCAGCAAGTTAATGTTGAGAAATTGCATTTAGAATTTAACAGATTGAAATACTTAACATTCCAAATTGAATGAACTCATTATTAGTGTGTCATAATTTAAATCCATTATTTCCACAGAAGTGTTTCTCATTTTCTTCATATAACTTCTGACAACTCTTAATTGCTCATGATTATAAATTACATTATGACTTCCTAATTTGTTTTTGTCATTTGCTGACTATACATTCAATAATCAGTAACAGTTCATTTAGCTATGTATTTTGTCAGGTTAGAAAAGATCTATACAGCCTTTAGAGTCAGTTTCTGTTAAGTACATGACTCTAAAAAATAAATATTATGAGAAAGATTACCATTTTTGCTTAAAAACAAGAACTTAAAAGAAAATTTTAAATATTTTGTATCTAGATAACTGTACTAATGTGAGTAATTTTTTAAGAGTCATAAAAAAATTCTCATTTAAATATCTATGAAATAGGATCCCATTTCATATTCCTTCCCATCATATCTGTAGTGTTATGATGTTCCATGCCATCCCTGTTGCCCATGAAAAGAATGCATTTTACTTTAATATACTATGATGAAATCTTCCTTTGAAAATGGTGCCTTCATAAACAAAATGTAATTCATGCTTCTGTTTTTAATGTAATACTGTCTGCCTCTTGAAAACTTCCTACACTTCTACTTCTACTGACACTTCATTATGTTTGGCTCGTTTAATCTTTTATTTACCACTGGTCTTCCTTTCATGAATCATTTGGGAGTCTAGTACATTAATGGTACACTATAGTTGTAATGCTGACCCCAGAAACATTGCTCCTCTTTTCTTCTAAGGGCTCTGTCAAGCAGCAATACTGCATAATTTCTTCTTTTTTGAGGTTGAGACTTCCAGAAGTTGAAAGAAACATATTGCTTTGATGGATTAATTGTTAAAGAGTAAAGTTAACAGTTATATGCATGTCCTTACTAACATAAAGATTGATACAATATTCAAAGATCTTTAATCTTTGAGATAAAGCGATATTAACTGGGCTTTTTTTTAATGGTGCCTTGTGAAAGCCCATTGATTTTTGTAAAATACATGGCAGAAAAGTAATCTAAAAAGTGCTGACTGAGACCATGCTTGTATTTGGAATACATTACATGAAAAGTGTTTG